ATCAATATGTTTTTATCTTTATAGGAAAAACTACTCGGCCACCATTTGTTTCGCAATGTTACTCGATTCGAAGTTCGAATGAATGATAGATCATCAATTGACTCTTTTCGTTATTTGTCGTCACTTATCGATTTTTCACATCTCGTAGCAGTTAAGCTGGATATTATCTCGAACACTCGAACAAGCATTAGGGATTTTGATCCACAATCATCTCATCTTCTACCATTCGTAAGAAACAATCATGTTGACAATAGCGAATGCCACATCAATATTGGAAAAGTTTGTTCAATGATACCTCGCCATATCAAACAGCTGGATGTGACAGTAAAAAATGTTGACGAAATGATCATGATTCTCACACGACTTAATCACTTATGCACTGTCTTATTTCGATTGCCAATACATTTTCCAGGTCGTCGTCAAGAAATTATTACATGGCTACAAAACAAGGCAATAGATTTCACGTATCATTATGAATACAGTTATCTGTCTTTATGGCTCGGCAAAAAGAGAACTCATCGTAAGCTGCCAACAGTAACATCTCTTCACGAACATGCAAAGATACTTCATCGTTATAATGATTGTTGACAATTTTTGAAATAAAAATTCTATGATAAATAGTTGTCAATCAAAATAAAGAGAACTAGTCAAGATTAGAAAAGTTGTAATTGACGCAAAACTCACTGGAACAAATATGTTCTATGTGATATAATCAGTTACCACAATCGACAAAATAGCAATCATTGCACCTATTGCTTTCCAATCTACTGACTGCATTGCGCATTCGTTCATTTGAGAGTAGTTTGCTTGCCATTCTATCCATGAATTAGCGTAAAGTTCTTGTAGTGGATAAGTACAGTGTGATCAAAGTCGTCTCTTTTAAAGCAATCGATCTTTTACAAAGCCCAATAATATCAGTACAAACATTGTCAATGGAAAACAGAGAATAGATAAGTCATTACCATATGCGTCATGGATCATTATAGGGATGATGATGATCATGAGTTTGTGGCACAAATAACCAATAATTGATAAAATACATCAAGCAGAAAATAAAAACAAGGACTGATGTCGTTTTAATATCTCATTTAGTGTTGTGCGGAGCAAAGAAATGCTCGGTGAAATTATACCAAAATGGCATCAAGTGCATAAACCATATTGAGTCGTTATAGTTAGGATAATGCTTGCTATTTTTACAATTAATAAAGAATAGCAAATGAAAAAAGAATCCCATTTCAACGTTTGTGCAAAAACGTTGAACAAAAAATTTGATCGACGTGGATTTTCAATTGTTTGATGATAAAATCATTAACATCTCTTAAAATAAGAATGATATCAAATAAAAGGCTGCCCACATGTACAATGCTAAAACTGATAAAACGCATGTTGCCACATATCAAAAACGCCAACCCGAACCTATGGGTTCTGAGTCTGAGGTGTAGATATTACCATTTGGTGATTGAAACGAAGAAACCGAGACGACTAATTGAAATGACAATATATCCCCGTAGTAAATAACATGAAGTAAATGGAACCATATAGGATAAGTTCGATGCAATCTCATCATTCGTATACTATTATTCAATAAGGATGATTTTAGATGCAAAACATACGAAGATATATATTTGATAGAATCTAAATGAAACAAATTATGAAGTAAAAGACCATGTTTTTTAACATATTTCTTTTCATATGCAAGAATAATCAGGATTTTTAGCATAAATTCAACTATCCTAAGAAAATATTCTCTTTCTGACAGCAAATTCTATTGCATAATCAATTATGGATATACAAAATATATCAAAATAATAAAAAATATTTTCCCAGTGTATCGCAAAATGCTATTAAAGTTGTTGTTCTAAACGATCTTTTTTTTATTTACAGATGCTTGCAAATAAGTAATTTCTCACTTGGTTTCGTGCTCTTCGGGTGTGGCTATGATTGAAACGTCACCCACACCCACACCCATTAGATTTAAGGGTTGTTCTCAAATCTTGTTCTTTTAGCATTATTAAACAACAATAACAAAAGAGAATAGTTGCATTAAAGCACATAAATATATTTGTCTCATGTCAATATTAATATTGTTCATAGAAAATTAATATTACAATGTAACGTTAGTTTTTTTTTTCATATATCACTGTTCGAAAATATTCGAGTTGCATTATTTAAATGAAGGTGAATGAAATCTTTCGAAGTGAGTAAGTAGTCCTTTGAGGTACCTATGTTATCTCAATATGCTATAAGTATAATTTCTATGGAAAGCGATACATTTAAAAAATCAAGAGTTCAAACCTGACCTGTGATATTTTACTATCATAGGATGATATGAAGAAGAAGATAATAGTTAGTAAAGTTTTTTATGATTTTTATTCTAATAATCGAATTTTCTCTGAATTTAAAGTTTCAGATTATTTTATTGAGTTTTTCCTTTGAAAAGTCCAAAAATATGAACTGTAATCTTTAGAAAACAGTAGTAGATAAACATTTTGACCCTCTAACGCGCGAAAATGGAAACCGGCTGCGAACCTCTATATACCAGAAGATAGAGCAAGCGACGCTCTACAAAATCTACTAGACCACAATTCACGCAAATTCGGAAGGAAATTTTTATTAGAAGGAGAAGTTGGTGCAGCAGTGAATTTATGGCGGTCTTATTAAAAGTATTCCTTAAAAAGTGAAAACATTTTGAGTCATATGAAAATGTTCTTGCAAAAAGTAGAACTTTTCACTTTGATGATGATTTTTGGGAATTTTTGAAAACAGTATTTTGCTCGTTTCAACCCCAATCCGTAGTCAAACCTTTAATAATTTATGATCAACATGATCAGCTCATCGAGCTCTACAAACGCCGAAAGTTTCAGCCAATTCTGAGAAACTTGATGTAAATGTGGTACGCTTCCCATGGATTCACCCTATTCTTTTTTTTTTATAGGCTCAAAATCTTAAATTTCAGTTTAAAAATCAATGAAAATGTTTGCCCATGCATTTCAGTCTGTTGTAATGGTTATTTTGTCACTACTCAATGAAAAAAGGTTCCGTTTAATAATCAAAATTATATATTTGTAGAAAACAATGCATTTAAATAATTATTTTTCCTTCTTTCTTCGAACTTGATTCTTATTGTCATTGGCTTAAAAATTCTGTCATGTATCAATTCACAGAATCCACGGTAGGACCACGCATATGATGAGCCAAATATTCCCTTGATTTCCATATAAGATATTATTGCTACCTAATGTCACATCGGAATTTCCGACGTTCATTTTGTCTTTGTTAAAACCAGGATTGCCAGATCTTTCGGTTGTGGAGATAGAAAAGATCAACACATCCACAATCCTCAAATAAATCACTCACAAGGAAAGAGTAGTTAAAGTCTTCTGTCATTTACCATGATAGGTTCCTTTCTTCTATTCCTATTTTTATTATCTCTTATTGACGAGCTTAATGTAATTTTATTTATTGCATATGTTATGTCTCTTCAAAATGTCCTTGAAATCGCTTTGTGCATATATCGATAGAGAGGAGAAGAAGAACGAGCGCGAAAGAACAAGCAACAATTGAGTAGACAGAGAAATACGAGTCACGTTAACAGTTAGATTTCTCTTTTCTATGCTTTTCTGTCTGTTCTTCGTTTCATATTCTATCGAACGGAATCAATATGTCACATGCTGACATTATGGGACTAAGAAACTGATCGCAATCATGTTCTTTATTAATGATGGAATCTCATTGTTTTTCCTATTTTCTTGTTAAGTCTTTGAGTAGTTCCAAATTTTATGCATCTGTATTGTCGTTTGTGTACTGAAAATAACTAAGCTGTTAATGTCATGTTCCATTCTATGTACATAACGGCGTTAGTCTTAATAAACCAATGGTAAACATATTTTATATCATCATAAAATAAGAAAAGACTAGATAAATAATTCAGTATGACACTCTCTTTCTTCATCTAAATAACAACAAAAATATTAACAGAAATAGAGTATGTACATAGATAATTAGAAGACGACCTTTGTTTCGCTTCTACCAGTCAAGATCCAACGAGACATTGAGATTTTGTGATCGATTGCAGCTGCTGATCATAGTTAGAAAAAACTAGAAAACGTTTCACTTAATTTGATATGATTTACACTAGAAGTAAAATGTATTTATTCCTATTATATCTTAATACTTATGTTCAGTTATTCTTTTATGCTTAATCTATCCATACCAAACTGTAAAATCATTGAATTGTGTAGCACAATAAGTGTGATAATAAGTAGATCTTATGGAATGAAATAGCATGTGAAATCCCTGAGTGTTGACGAGTAAAACACGTTTCAAAATAATACCATAAGATTTTCTTTTAGTAAGAATCCTTCATTCAGCAGCAACAAAAGAAACAATTGACAGGCAATAAGTGAGCAGATACAACAAAGAAGTATATATATTAACGAATAGATACCTTATATTCTTAATAGATGCTTATTTTCAATATAGAAAATATATTTCTATTGTAAAATTTATTCTCACAGGAGATTGTATAGTGATTAATAAACGCTAATGCGAATAGGTACTTAATTTATAAAAGAATAGTTATTATTACTATGTATTTCTGCACCATTTACTTGTATATTTTAGCTTAACACATCTGTTTATAACAAATAGACGTTCAATTACAAATTTTGAACTAATCTTGTTTTCTTTTATATATTTTTTCTTCTTTTGCGTCCATCGACCGTATCATGTTCGATTATTTTGTGCACGAAAAAGAAACTGAACGAAGCCTCTCAATTCAATTCGACAAAAGAAATCTTTCAATCAATTCAATTTTGTTTCCATCTCTGCTGCTTTTTCACTTCCATTTTCTGTTTATTCTTTTCTTTCTTCTCACTTATCTATTCTTCTCGTTTTATCATATATACGTAAACTGGTGTTCTATGGAACATAGGCAGAATTGAAACAATCAACTAGTTTAGTGTTTATGTTTGTTGTTATTTTAAAGATTTTTTAAAAATATGATTACTTGTATAACTGATTTACCTGTGGAATTGTTACAAGAAATTTTCGATTATTTATCTGCATTTGATATTTGTCATACATTTCACAATCTTAATGATTACCTTAATAATGCAATTCAAATTTATTCAAAGTTTAAACTTGATTTTCAATCAATTCAAAAGTCACATTTTGACCTTATCTGCCAATATGTTCAGCCATTGTGCATAAAAGCTTTGCGTCTTAGTGATCATCGAAGTGAAACAGTAGACCAATCGGAACTCTTCTTGTCTCGAATCAATGCTAACCAAATGAAAAACTTGCAAGCACTTTCATTAGCACAAATCGAAGATATTCCTTTCACTACGTAAGTGAAGTATATATTATGTTATAGGTATATATTTTTTTCACACTTCATTTATACTGAATTTATGGGATTTAGCAAATGCCTCTAGTATAGATTCCATATCGAGATAATAAATATATGTGAAGGATAGATGGGCCTTCATTAAAATCATCCATAACATGAATATAAAATGTAAAGAAAAATCGATATCTAATTGTAATTGAAACATATATATACCTTTCTTAGTATTGCTCAAAGTCTATCGATTTCAAGCTACGGATGGAATGTTTACTGATGATAGTAGATTATCAGATCGGATTCGATTATAGTCTTCATCTGGAACATTCTCAAAATAGTAGCAATAAGAGATTTCAGAATTAAACTTAGATATCAAGCAAAACTTTTCAAATGTCTACTAAAAATGATGTAAACAGGAAGTTAATTCACATGAATCATTTTTTTTCTTGTCTTGATGAAGGACATGATCCTTCGAGACAATTTATCAAATGATCATTAGAAAAAACATCTTCAGGAAAAGAACCTACGATCTATGCAAAAGAAGACGAAAAGGGCAAATTATATAAAATTTGTAAGGAATTTTATGAATATGTGTATAGTCCTCCAGAAAAACAGGAAGAAATTCAATTAATTTCGACGCTAATTATCAGATTTCTCTAAAAGGATCACATAATCTACATTGAAAAACAGAAGAAAAAAAAATTATAATTCACTCGAAAAAGAAGTTGTCATGAACATTATTTGAATTTGTTCCGTCATTGTGTTTATTGACTGAAAAGAAATTTTTTTGATTAGCATACAACAAAATTGTGTCAATAGAAAAGTTTTCTACACGATAGGAGCATGCTCTTGCCCTTTATTTTTGAACATGAACTTTGATTCCATTTTAGAATATTCCATACATTGTCACACTTCCAACAATTATCGTCGATAGCACTGATGAAATCCAAATCTGCCGATATAAGTTATATAGAGTTAGAAAATGAATGTGAAGATAAACGTCTACCTACCTATGAAATCGTCATAGAAAATGATAGTTGTTTATTCAATATATTTATTGATATTCTCCTACCACGTTTGCGATGTCTAATTTTACATGCATGTAATATATCTCAGTTGACATGCATCTGTCATCATCCAATGACGTCGATATCACTTGAATTGTTCGACATAGTTCTTATTGTCGACAATGACGTGAAAACATTGCCATCATTCAATCAGCCAGCAATGCATTTAAAACATCTCAAATTAAAGTTCAGCCGTAAGTAAATTAATTGTTTTTTTTTCTTGTTAAGCTTTGCTTATTCTAGAGTAGAATTCTAGTGATATGAACAACTTTTTCTGAAGCAAGACTTGAAAAGAGTAGTGGAAAATGTATGACTAGATATGTAGATCTTTTTTCTAACCCTTCATCAAGGATGTGACAGGTATCGTATCATTTAACGCAATTATTAATAAATTCATTCATAAAATTAGTTAGCTAGTGAATACATTGATTAACCAACAGAACGCTTGAATTAAGGTATTCACGGCATACTTAATAATTAATCATTAATAAACTATCCAAATGTGAATAGGTATGAGTGTGTGGGGTCTAAGTATTATGTGCTCGAATAATGACCATCAGTTTATATTAACTACTTAATATGCAAGCATTGCGACTTTATTCTTTCAAAATCTATAATTCCAGACTATTTTTAGTTTTAATGCATACTTGTTTAGTATTGTTTATTTCTTTGTAAACTTTTTAAAAACAATTTTTGTTTAGACAAACGTGATGAACGCAATATATATTATAAAATTTCACTGTCGGCAATTGAACTATTTCTAATGAAGACACCCAATCTTAAGCATCTTCATTTAACGGCAATCTGTCGAAGAGAATTTGCTAATGGCGCATATTGCTCGAATTTTATTTCTTCGTTTTTACCTCAACTTTCCACATTCAATTTTTGTTTTCGTTTTCCGTATTATATTTCTGATGAAGGTAACTTAAGTACATTTTGCAGCCCATTTTGGCTTGAATATAAACAGTGGTATGTTGCATGGGATAGTTTGTCGCAATTATTATATACACTTGCCGATCGTTACTTTCATCATTGCAACAGAAATGATCACATAAAGGTAACATCAACTAAAGGTCTGGCATTATTTTGCGCCACTGTAACTTACCTTATGGGATACTGACCTTCGCTCAGGTCGGACTACTTCAAGGATAAAATTTTCACTAATATTCACACCCTGGAATTGGATTGTGTTTTATTGTATAGTTCATCTGATAAATATTCATTTTTTTCGTGGGAACCAAATTATGTACTTAATTATGCAACTGTTCGTCATTTGATATTTCAACGTGATATAGATTGGGATAGACTCGTGGATTATTATAGCCCAAATCTATCTGAACTCACTCTACAATCATTAAATAAATCTAAACAATGCTTTCCACTTTATTCAATTCGCAAACATAAAATAAATGAAGTAGAAGATATTGATGAAATATGCTCTATTTTTCCATCAATTGAACATTTAAAAATTCCTGTATATGATCAAAATGAAATAGCATATATTATAAATCGATTGGAATATTTATGTAGTGCAGTATTTCTTTATAATGGAGAAAAACATATTTCAATCAAATGGATTTGCAAAAAAACTAATTTAATTGAAGATAATTTTACTTACAGATTGGACAGACAATTATGCGTATTATATATGTGGATTAATAATCAATCAAAAGTAATTTGATTCAATAAAATTTCATTCGGTATTCATTGTTTCCTTTTAGAACAATACAATTTTACCAAACCCATGGACTTACTTTTTGTGGTCGGTTAGAAGAGGAAAAACAAGAAAAATAAAAAGACGACGTGATTGGAATATGCTTTTAACAATCTATGAATGTACTTTCAAATCTGGGCTTTTTGCTACTACTCCACTTTTGAATGAAGCTCCTTTACATAGACTTTCGTCTTACAAGCGACTTTCTTATTTCTAAAAATTCATCTTAAATATTTAACCTTCAAAACGAATTGTTTGTTGACATTATTATTGTAAATTTTATGTAATATGTGAACGCAGTAATAAAAGTAATAATAAGATCAAACTCATGCTCTTAAATACTCGTTTGATATCTTCATTTATTTTCTATATGCATCGATGTTTTCACTTTCACTGTGAACCTTCAGATCAAAATGTATATTTATCGTAATTACCACAAAATTTTCCACATTTTATCTCTTGATCCATTGGGTAAAATTTATAGTTTTGATATGAAGAAGAAAAAACTTTCTTAGACATTGAGGATTGAAACAAAAGAAAAAAAAACGTCACACTGTTCTTGTGGAGTGAGACCTGCCAAGTTCCCAGGAGTCGGGAACTCGATGGGAATTGGGAACTCAAACGGTGTGGGTGGGTGGGGACGTTACCGTTACGTTCCCAGGTAATTCGTAACGGTTTGGTAACTGTCTCCCGTTCGCAGCCCGAACCCTAGGGTCCTCAAGTCCGATTTTCGAAAAAAACATTTTTTTCAAAAACACCCACACCGTTTGAGCTCCCGACTCCTGGCTATTTGGCCAGTGCTGTGCGGAGTAGTCAAATTGAATGTTATAAAACAATTTTTAAATATAAACGAAAGAGGCATGTAATTGTTCTACAGATCAGGGTTTTGTCGAAGGCGGCAGAAAACGATAAATGAAATAACAGCGAATGGAAGAGCAATAGCACCTGCTATAAGTAAAATGAGTGAATAATAAGTAGTTGGTTGGTACCATGTTAGTTCAGAGGACTTCTTTGTATTATGCCAACATGGATATGAAGAACCCATCTAAACAAAGATATATTTTAAATGAAATACTTGTTCAAACAGTTTGATGATTCTAAAAAATCGAATAATGTTCAGAAGCCTTTTTTGCCTTAAATAACTTTTGCAATGATTTTTCGAAAAGGGTGTGCTTGGCATTTTATCATAAGACATCGTTTTTGGTTAGCAGAACAGTTCACACGTCTCACCAATAATAATCAAGCCACTACCAACAAGTAAGTGTGTATTTTCTTTGCTATTCAAATGCTACCGTACTTAAAGCAAGTATTTGATATAAGAACTAATAGTCTATGCTATAATTTGTTTAAACCAATGAAAATCGCATAAAAGCAACTACTTGCAGTAGTCATATTATGAGATTTCTTCAAATAGAGTCAACCGGTTGATAACCATTATCAGGAGCTTTTTTTTATAGAATGTAATTGATAGAGAGAGTTGGCAAAAAAAATGAATTTATTTTTGACGAGAATTTCTTTTCTTGACCAATCATGTCTGAGTTGTTAACAACTTCCTATCGAAATATATGTGCTCAGTAAGAATGTGGGTGTAAGATCGTTATCAATATCTACGCTCAGACTACCAAGAATGGCGGAGAAAAATTTTGAGGTCTTCTAATAGAATAACAATAAGAATCATTGTTAGTTTACTCGTCAGTTACTGAATGGTCCGAAAGAGCTTCGGATATCCATGCATTCAATGAATATAAAAAATTTCTCAATAGAATCGATGATTTTAAGTTCATTCGACATTTTATCTGCATACTCAATGCTACAAATGGACTTATGTAATACACAGTTGTTGTGAAAATAATTGAAAATAATTGATATATCATTTATTATCGGTAGATCAAACGGTTTGGTCTGATCATTTCAATGTAGTACAAATCTTCAAAAACTTACATCGGTTGCGTTTCTCGCTAATAATGCTACGTACCTGGTATTTATCAGAAACGATCAACACAGATTTCAAAGATTTTTCTGCATCACCGCGAATTGTTCCTTTAAGTTTCCCATTTTGTCCGAAATCAACTTGCCAGACTGGTTGAAAGCACTTCTGAGTCGACATACGCGTCTCACTTTTAATGCATCTCGGGATAGTTTCGTAGCTTGCTGATGTAACATGGCAGGAATCTTTCGCATAAGAAGATACTTTAGAATGTTGATCGAAGAAAAGCGCACCACCGACTGCTAGACAAGCCACAGATATAATTAAGAAAACAAATCCGATTCCAAATACAATCTTTGCTGATCGAGATCCAAAATTAGAGTCTGCCATAAAAGAGAATCTAAAATAAGAACGTAACGGTTTGAATTAAAGTAACGATCAATCCGAAATTATTCTTCATTTTCTCTCTTTTATATCAGAAATCAATGTTTTTCTAACATTGAATGCATATGTACGTATATCAGACGCAGGCGGATCGAATGACCCAATGAAAAAAGTTCGAATATAATTTGAGTTTCTGAAGCAAAGTTCAAACTATAATCGATTGAAACTTTCCAAATCACCAATACTTTAAGTTTTAATCGAAAATAATTTTTTAAATCTAGTATAATTTTCATTTTAATCAAACCTATGCTTAATTGAAACAATTAGTTTGGTTTGGAAAATTCGAATAAATTATACTGCAGATTTTGCTGCACAAAAATTTGCTGATAATTTAACAAAAAACTAATGTAATCTAATTGTTTTTCTCAGAAGATGGAATGAATGTGTTATTCAAATGAAGGAAAATATGTGATCAAATGAGTAAATTTTATGTCAAGAGAGAAATCTGGGAACATAACGAGTTATTATGAAGAACGGCAAATGTATCTACTGTATCATAATCAGCAGTCAATTAATCAAGAGTATCTATAGTTAAGATTTATGGAAGGTAGAACAACGTATATACTTCGTTAATATAAACATAATTTGACATTGGATAAGTATGCCAAACTGATTTCATCAAGATCGTCACAAGCTTTCCTATCTTCTTATTCATATATTGCTAGTAAAATATACGATAGATTCTGTATTTATGAATGACATTAATGTTAAACATAGACTCTATTATGGTTCTCGTTTATTTTTTTTCTGGAAGCATTGTTGTAATTCATAGGAAATAAGTCTCAACCGATAACAAGGAATAAATATTTGTTTCGTTTTCGATGACATTTGTATCTACTAATAAAAATGACTCGATCAGTGGTTCTTTTTCTATTAGCTGTCTCTCAGGTACTCATGTCGTTTCTCTTGGATGGAACATGAAATGGCGAATATTTCATCGCTAGATGTTGCTAATAATGAAGTTCTCTCAATTTGTATCTTGCTATGGTGAGCTCTCTGTGTATGAAGTTAATTAGAAAGTGAACAAATGAAAACTATGTGAAGTTAAGCCGATTTCTAGCTAAAATATTTTTCATCATAAAACTATCTTTGCCCTTCATCATTAGCTCTCTGTATAACTTTCGCTTGAACTTGCAATTGAGGAACTTTTTTGAGAACTATGCTTCCTCTACCAATAATATATCATTTGATTCTATGTGTGACACAAATTTTGAATGTGATATGATTTTTCATCTTCTTTCCATGAAATACAAGCAAATTCGTTAAAAACTATTGCTTACAAACAAATAAGAACACATTTACTCACACTTTTCACATACATGTAGCTTGAATCCTGCATCTCTATTCATGGTACATGAAGTTTCGTTCCTGATACTGTTCACTATTAGTTTCGCATAAGCATTTCAGCTCTTTTAGCATTTTAATTCATAGAGATATATACTTCATGAGTTCGATATTCTGCTTTTACAGGGTGTCCCAAAAGTCACGATTACCCTCAAGACTTCCGTATAATTCCAATATCAATGAGGTACTAAATCAAGAGCTTTTATTTGGAAAAGTAGTGTAAGACACTTTTTCTATAAATGTAAAGTTCGTAAATATTATTTAACGGCACTATCTTTAGCTTCAACACAAATATTTAGCTGTTTCATAATTTAAAAGAAAAACACCCTTCGAAGTTTTCGTTATACGAGTTAATGAACAAGAGGAGTATTACAGTCGTTCTGGAAACATTTACTTCTTTTGATTGATCTCGTACCTAACATTTCCTCGAATTAGATATGGGTCAATTTTGAGGAATTGGTCAGCTACGCATCTTGCAAAAAACTGGTAATATTACGATCATTACATCCAAACTAAATGTTCACAGAACAACGGAAAAAGATCTCCCATTTGTTAAATTGGCGATCGCAAGAAATCTGAATAAAAAGAGAAAAAACTTGAGAACTTTCTTCTCTGAAATTATAAATCTTCTAAATTCTTGTATTGAAGACAAAAGTAACGCCGTTAAATAATATACATAAACTTTGCGTCTATAAAAAAAATACTATTCAACTGTTCCAGATAAAAGAAATTATGAACTGAGACTTGGTTGATAATGGAATTACAAGCAACTATTAAGTGAACATAACTATGTAGTTTATGATCAGTTATGAGAATGAAATGAATTATATCCAAGTAAAATCAGGTTGCATTGAAGTCTAGATTCGAATATTCATTTAACTACCATTGAACTTGATATATATTATAGGTACACGAACACTTCATCAAAATGAATGACGAAGTTCTTCAATAAAAGCCTTACATCACTAACCAACGAAATAGCAATACTACCATTGCTTCAGTTTCTCTTTTTTACTTCTCAACTAGACTATTTCAGCAACAGACTTCGAGATATAGTCATACATATGTCACCAAAACTACTTTACTTCTGACTAATGGAGCTTTGTCGATCATGGGAATTTTTCTGAATTTCAACTCTGCCATTCGCCTTCACAGAGTAAAATATCATTTGCTCTTATTATTTAAATTAGCTTCATTTCTTTAAAAAGTAGTTCTCTACTTTGGGATTGTTTTTTGGTTGCATTTACTAAGA